CGCTCAAAAGACATCTCATCTTTCCCTCTGTAACAAACGTTGGATTTGGGAAAGGGGGGGGGGGGCGAAGAAAAAAAGAGAGGGAGAGAAGAAAGAGAACTAAGGGGAGGGGAACTCTGGAAAAATGCCCTGAATGAGGCAGGGCAATTACACGATAACTACTAGTTAGCAGAGTCTTGAAATTTTGAAGTAGCAAAAAATTAGGTCAGGCTTACTCTGTGTTTAGAATTGCCTCTACGAGTTGCATTAGGTTGCCCCAGGGACTGCTGAGATAAACACAAAATGAGTGATCCCCCTAACACTAGGAAGGGTAGAACTCCGAGGCTAAAGAGGTTTCCTGTAGAACAGTATAAAGTGCCAACAGATATTTTGGACCCTAGCCTTAAACTCTTTTATCAGAAGATGTTTGAATCTGGTGCTTTAACAGCTTCTTTTAATGATGTTTATATCACTGTAATCTTTACCTCAGATAAATATGTATTGTGCAAGTGATAGGCCTTTTTCATTAGTGAATCTGGTTGTTAAAATAATATCTGGCATTCTTGCTAACCAATTCCAGAAATTACTGGCATCACATCTTCTGCAAGTGGATAAAGATTTATTATTGACAAGGAGCTGACAATTTGAGACTACGGTATTAGAAAATATTTTATTTAAATCATGTCTCATCTGTATTATGTGGTCAAAAACCCACAAAGTAACATTAAGGTAGATCCTGATATAATTATCTTGTAGGATGTAGAGAAGGCCTTCAGTAAAATTCATTGGCAATAACTGTATTTTATTTTTGCGAAATGTTTTTCTCAGAAATTTTAAGATGGTTTACAATGTTATTTTTTGCAAATACAACTAATACAATCTCATCCTGTTTTTGTGCGTGAGAGAGAGAAATACAGCAAAGTTGGTCTCTTCTCTGTTGTATATTTAGAAATTTTGGTGGGTGCTTTTCAACAAAATAGTGGGAGTTGTAGTTTAACAAATGCTAAACAAATGCTATTCATTTATGTTGGCATTTATTGATAAATCTGAGTCATCCATACCAAAATTAATAAAATTAATGTAAGGTTTTGGACTCTTTTCTTATAGTATCAGTTTGATCTAAATCTGAGTGTATATCTTTCTCAGGATAGATTTGATGGTGCCTGGCAAAATGTTTTGGGCTGAGAATATCTAGAGATCTTTGGTATGATTAAACTAAATTTAAATAGAAATAGCAACAGATTTGGAAAGATGAACCAATGGTGGTGGATTTAAAATTAACAATCAGTTAATTAAAATATTTGATGTGTTATACACCTATCTATTTTCAACTGGAGATGTGGAGCTCAAAATACAACATTGGTTCATGTGACATAATCATGCAATATAGTTTCATTTTTCCACCCAGAAGTTATTTCATTCATTACAGTAATTTTATTCTGGAAGGTTCATTGGGTTTTGTAGATGCTTTTTAAAAAGTATATATGAATGGTTTGGAAACTAATAAGAGAACAATGGAAATGGATATTGCACGCCCTTAATAATTGCCATGAAATATTGATAATACAAGGCTGGAAAGCCCTTCCATTTGTGACCGTATCACAGCTGTGGATTTTAGAACAGAGATCCTTCCAATGACACTTCCCCTTTCTCCCCGTGTGAGCTGAGATGTATGTGCCATCAATTTCATCATATGTGGTTTACTGGCTTCATCCTTGTACATCTAATGGAGTTGTTACTAAGGGGAAGCATGATGAACAAACATCTAAAATTTGTACATGTGGTTCATGTTTACTTTTGCTTCCTTGAAATGGAGTTAAAAATATCCAAATATGGGTAAAGGGTTTTTTTTTCCCTTGATGGTTTGTGGATGTTAGTAAGATGACACAGTGCATATGTGAGTTAAAATAGGCCACAAGGAACTGGAGTAAGTGAAAGTACTGAATGGAGATGTGATATTCATATTCATTTAATCACCCTGTTGTTCCTTCTCTTCATTTCTAATTGAATGCGAACATTATACATGTTTCTAGCTGGTTAATAGCTTCCAAATGTTCTTTCCATAGAGACTTTTGTAACGAGTTTTTTCCCCTTGCCATTACACATACATGTATTACATATCATATTTGTAGTGTAATGTTTTAAATTGTGATTTGTTGTGAACCTCTTAGAATTCTGTAGAAAATTGGTGGGATATAAATATTTTAAATACATAATACTGGTTGATTAGATACAGGCATTTCCACTACACAGCACTGGTTTATGAAAATATTATATTTGAATGCCACTTGGAAGTGTACATGTCTCTTTTAGGGATAGGCAGAAAATAGTTTGTAACCTCTTGATCAATCTTAAGGCAATTGACAGTGGTTTCTGATTCCCAATTATCTAGTAATATGAATAACCCTCAATTCCCCTCTCAACCTTGGGAGAATTTTTGGAATGGTTTTTTATGTGAAGAGACATGACCCCGGCTTTGGCACTGATCAAAATTCTGGGTCTGAAAATGTTCTCTTAGATTCTCAGTTCCATAGTTCTTACACATATCCATCTGCCTCGGCTCATTGATTATTTCAGATTTCTACTGAAATACAAAATACAAACTCGATCTTAATCTGAAGTTTGCCCATCTTGATTTTGACACACACCATTTTTACAGACAGAGATGAAATGAAATGTTCTCAAAAACATTAATGATTCCAAAAGTTCTATTCATTATCATTCTAAGCAAGTAGTCCCCTGTGCTCAAGTTTACAATATGGGAAGGTCAGACTCAGATTTACCATCTCTGAGACCCTTAGCCATCATTTTTACTTTGTGCAAACTATTTGGGGGAAAGTGTAGATTAAATTGACCAAATACGGTATTATGTTTTAGTTCATCTTGCTGCTTGGCATCACTTTTTTCAATTGAAATTCCATTCATAGAACAAGCTTATGTGTTTTGAAGAAGCTACTGAAAATATTAATCACATCAGGATAACAGCCTGCTTGGGCATATTTGCATATTCGCAGGTTCCATCCTGCTGATTTCTACAGAAAATGATTATCCATTTTGTACTTTCACTTTCAAAGACAGATCTCATCCCTAATAGTACAACACCATCAAATAGGCATCTTAGGACAACAGTAGTGCATGTTGAGTTGTTCCTTTTGCTTTATCTTAACTCCTGGGAATGTCTGCTTACCATAATAATAAACATTTTTATTTAACGTATTTTTGAAATGATTCCTATGGAAATGCATGTCATAATTAATACATTAAAACAATATAAACAATTTAAAAAGTGGAGAGAAAAAAAGAAACAAAAGGTTATTTCATGCATTACTCATAACAAAAGGGGCAATATAAAGGCAAATAAATTATGGATTATGCTCACAAAAGTTTGCAAAATAAAATTATTTTTGCAGCCCTTTAAATGCAAGCAGTAATGGACTAACTTCATTTTAAATGCCTGAAGTTGGAAAGCTGCAGCTTACGAGAAAAAAAGCAAGAGAAGTAAAATGGTAAGATTAAATGCAAAATCAGTATTGATATAAGTTTAGATTGGCACAAGCCTGTTTCTGGGTATCAAAAATTTTTGGATGGTGTATTCACAGCGTAGCTATTTTTATGTGCAAAGTTCCAGAATAAATTACTGTACACACTGTTAGTCCAAATAATTTTACAGACATTGACTTGAATTCAGAAACAAAAATGTGGCTTGTTCATTTTGTACTGTATTTAGCACACTGTTTGAACATAGCTGCTGTGATTTGTAAAGCGTAGGTTCATCATTTAGCATATGATATGAATCCAACTATTTATTTATTTTATTTT